AGGTGGCATATAAATCTCAATAATAAATAAATAAAATAAATAAAATAAATAAAACAGATACATACATTTTCTTATCCAGTTAGGCAGAAGGCTTTCTAGCAAGATCTTCAATTTTTAGAATTCCTGAACTTAAAAAATTGGAATGTATGGCTCTGATTTATGTATTGCTTATCTTTTCTACTTTGGCTAAAGGAGAATGAAGTGGCCACTGGAGTTGAACAGTAATATATTTGAATAAATATAAATAAATAACTAATAAAGCAAAGAAGACAGGAAATGTTAGACATTCAGAGAAGTAAATGTTGGAAATAAATATAGGAGATCCACTAAATATTAGTGGTTAGGACACCAGGCAAGAAACCAGGAAACTTTGAGTTCTAATTCCACCTCAGGCATGAAGGCAATTGAGTGACTTTCAGCCAGTCACTCTCTCTCAGCACAACTCATCTCAGAGGATTGTTGCTGTTGGTAAAATAGGAGGAAGAAGGAGCATTAGGTATATTTGCTGCCTTGAGTTATTTATAAAAATGATCAAGGCGGGATAATAAAAATTAGATAAATAAATGACCTAAAATGCAACGAAGATCGATGTTTACACTGTGAGACATTTCTGCTGATGGACTTCTATTTATTTTTAAAATTTAACAAACAGTTCAGCTTTTCAAATTATATTTAATCAGGCACAATAATCTCCTATACAGATGACCATTTGCAGCTCCTACAGAGGAATAACTACAGGGTAGCCTATTTTTCTATGTACAGTAGCTATGTAATTATTTGAAAAGGGGCAAAATTCCATACCAATTTTTGAACTTCATTTCTTTTCTTTTACAAGGAATAATTAGACATATGGAAACAATTCTGCCCAAATGGACAGAGACCAGAGATGAATTGAAAAAGCTTAGAGTAGAAGTAGGCTAACCTGAGGTTTCAGATGAATCCCCCAGTTGCTGAAAATTGGTAGCATGACTTCGTATCATTCTCAAATGGGACAGCACATAAACCAATTTTAAATTAGGATTAACTAGTTAAAAATAGTTCCTTTCCTCAAATCTCTGTACATCAAAATGAGACTTTACCCATTGCAGCCTTCATTCACTCTTCCAAATCTATTACAGACAGTCCCTAACCAGCAAAACATTATCTCTTACATCCTAGAACCTTAATTTGTTCCCTTCTTGGCTATGGCTGCCTCTTCTGAATGCGAGATGATTTTTAGAAAAAAGACAACATGATGGAAGAGGAAGATGAGGACAATGAGGACAGCAGACAAGAGAATTCTATGACTATCTTATAGGGGGTCTCTACAATGATTGGTTAGAACAGGGGTGTCAAACTCACAGCCTGTGGGCCAGATGTGTCACGCACTGGCCACGGCCACCCCCTTTTTTAGCAAAGGGGGGAAAAGTCATGATACATCATGTGATGACAACGTGATGCCGCAAGTTTGACACCTCTGGGTTACAACATGCAGTGTAATGATTCCCAGATAGCTATGATGTCATTCTATAAATTAAGCAAGAATTCTTTACAGTTCCAATCCTGAGAACAGAAAGTGTCTGAAAGAAGAATATGGACTTCAGAGAAATTATTCTTATTAGGTGACCATCATACTCAGCAAAAACATTTTCATGGATTGTTCAAATTAATATTTGTTTTTTTCATCTTGGGTCTTCTTTTAATGAAGGATGGAGAGGAATATGGTGATATATAGATGGAATAAATACATATGGTCAGTTTTCATTCACTTGAAATACCTTTTGGGTCTAATTTTCAAAGATTTAACTTAGTTTAGCAAAAAAAAAACAAAACCATAATAAATTCTAAGAAAAGTTGCTTGCTATAGTATGAAACTCTAAAACTCTTAAACTTTCAGCTTTGTAGTATTTTTCTAAACAGCCCTCCTCCCACATACACACATATGGGGACAATCATATCTCTAGCAAAGACACTCTCTGAAATATTCATTATGAAGACCTAAATGCAAAAGCCACATAGAGGTTTCCAGCAAATCCTCTCCTAAGAGATACAGCATACAACTAGACTTGCCACTGTGAAATATAGTAGGAAACTATGAGTCAGCTAAAAGTCAGTTGCTCAAATTGCTTATTGTCTGCCAAAATGATCAGTTCTCTTGCTATAGGGAAGAGGAGTTGTTAACAGTAGGAAATGCTACCTAATTTCAATCCTAAAATTTTTATTCCCAATAATGTCCAACTACTTCCTTTATGAATAACTTCCTGATCTGAGACCAAGCCTTTCTGAGGAGAAGATAGGATTTATTTTAAATGGTTTTGTTTTGGTGGCTTTATAAACATTCACCTCTTCTGTTAGGTATGACTAAATGAATAGAAATACTTATCATCATGTGTTGGATAAAGTTCTGAAAGCAGATGACTGTAAGTAAGTAAAAAACAAGTGAAATACAAAATAATGTTTAAAAAATTAAACTAAGAAAACACTCAAATTAAAGCAGCTACTCACACAGGTTTTAAAAACTAAGGGAGTTTGAAAGTTACACCTCCTATTAAAAATAATATTTTTAACAAAGAAATAGGGGTTTATGGAAAGGGGCCAAAACATTTTTATGTCAGTGAATTCCAACAGGTATCTTAAATATCAGAATAAAGAAGTTAATTCTGTTCATATTCCAGTGATAAGCAGACAGCTCCTTTCTTCAATTTTTACTACTGAATTCACCCATAGTACTGTGAGTATGTTCTTAATAGCCTTTCTACCACTGTTTTGTTCTTCCTGCCTACTAGCCATATACTTTACAAAAGAAAAGGGAACTGCTTAGTCAGAAAAACAAGTACAGAGTAGTGTTTCTTATACATGCTTTCTCTGTTTAGCCAAAACACTGAAGGGAAAAAATCTGGCTGGAATAATATAAATAATATTTTTGAAATTAGAATGAATAGAAAACTGGAAAAAGTATCACAGAATACTGGTGCCATTATTTGCTTATATAATAGTATTTCTAAATCTTCCCCATGTCAATGGCCAGTGGAAAGAAACAAGCCAAGAAATTAGAGGAAGAGTGCTGGCATTCAAACCATAATCAAGGAGGTGGACTGCTATATCTTGCTTCCCAGACAAGGCTGTGAGGAACTGCTGGAAAGTAGGAGGTATGTATAAACAACCAGCAAGATCACATTACCTTGCGTGCCACAAGAAGAGACAAACCTCCTTGATTATGGTTTGAATGCATTGTAAGCTGCCCTGAGTCTTCGGAGAAGGGCGGCATATAAATCAAATTAAAAAAAACAAAAACAAAGTGATGCATACTGGCTAATGTGCTGGACTGGACAAGGAGATCCCAGGTTCAAGTCTACTCACAGTCATAAAATGTGAGTAGACTTCCAAAAATATGTTTTGGGGGAAAAAATTATGTTGCCTTCAGCTTCTAAATGAATTGGGGTGGAAAGAGAGTGTGTCAAGAGGGATCTTTTGAATCAATCTAACCATTTGTGTGCATTATATGGAAGCGAGAGAAAAATGTTTCTCACTGTTTGGCGTCCTCTTTTTTAGGGACTGATGCAATCATGCATGGTTTGAGAACTTACTTGAAAGGATGGCCCTCTCTCTTATGAATGAAAAAAAGCCTTTGAATAGAATTCAAATGGAATCATGGCAGCAGATAACAAACCTTGCCAAAATGTCTAATGCTTTCTATTAAGGAAGAAGATCTGGCTTGGCTTAAGATTTGAGGGAAAGCTTTTCCTCTCAGTGTTGTTATTGTTGAAAGTTTATCAAAAGACAACACTTCCCACAACTACATCCTCACCCAGTAATCATTGGAAAAACAGAACTCTTCTAACTCGTTAAATACGACAGACAAGCAAACTATTATATGTGTAACAGGCTGAACTTTAAGCCTTTGATTAAATAAAATGGAGTGTTGATCAATCAGCATACTGAAAGAACCACAATGCAGTTACGAAACATGAAAGAAGCAAAGACAGTTTTCTAACCTGTATGTTATGCTCATTTCATCTAGATGAGCAATCCACAGTTCAGATAGGTACCACTGAGTCTATATGACACATTCAACTTCATTTTTATTTTGAATGTATATGAACTAAAATGCAATTGTGTACACTTTTCCAAACTTTGCATTTTGGATTAAAATGTGCATGAAAATTCATATAATTATCAATATTTTTAAAAAGGCACATTAGAAAGAACTGATATTTGCATAAAAACTCAATACAATTATATGAACATTTTTTAAAATTACAATTTCATACCAAAATGGAATAAAGCTAACTTTGAAACTCATGGAAAAATGAGAAACTGGTGAAATTGATTTAAGCTAATTTGTCTATCTGTCCTCTTATCCTGTGCCTTTTGCTATTACTAATGTATATGTTATCTTGCATTACCAATATAATAGAAGAATTGCTCTATTATATTAAAATAGGAAAAAATACACTTTTGCAAATAAAAACTAAATGTAGAATGAATATATTTTCATAATGAAGCTGAAGTAATAAAATAATTAATACTGCTATGTTTAACATGTTGTATTTAAAATGCTATTTCTTGCATTACAAGAAGGTCTGGCAAACTATTATTCTGATGATAGGTGAAAACAACTAGTATTTAAAATAATTTAAAATATGAAGGTCAATATATATTTTTTCTTTTGTTCTGCTTTGTTTAGGACAAAGAATTGTCTGAACCCCAAGATTACACATGGCCTTTAAAAGTCCTGTATCTTTCTAAATATTGTTATTGAAATTGACATTTTGGATACATTTTTGGAGAACGATCATACTAACTACATTTAATATTAATTCATTGAGTGTATATTTGCAAATACAAATTTAGCATCTCTCTCTCTCTCTCTCTCTCTCTCTCTCTCTCTCTCTCTCTCTCTGCTTGTGGGTTTAGAGGGGGGTTTACAAGCATACAATTTTTTTAATGATATGCATTTTCAAAGCTAAAATCATAAACAAACAGTTGTCCAGAGGTTCTCAAAGTTATTAAGAATGTACCTTCCTCTTTATTTTGTTTCCTTTGTAGCCATTTTTCCACTGTTTCAGCACCAACGCTCTCTAACACAAATTCATCCAGTACCTGGGGGTGAAGTGAAAGATAGGCCTTCACTTTTTCATCTGTCAAACCTGCAAAAGAGAACATTATTGTTTATACTATTACTATTCCAAGGAAAAAAGCAACAAGAAAAAACATCAAAATCCTCATTCAGAAATTAACTTTATTGTGCTAGAAATCTCTCAAGAAAGGCTTTACAATGCTTAATTCAAAGAGGATAAAGAGATGAAATAAGTCAGACTCAGCAAAAAGAATGCCACATGAAAGATTATTAAGGGGTAATTATGAATGAGGAATGTCTATGGAGATTCTCAATCATCCAGGTCATGGTTGTTCCAAAGGTGCTTTTACCTTTGGAGGCAACTGGACATTCTAACATTTTGCTTCTCATCCAAGAAGTTTCTTCAGTTCAGTTATTAAAACAAAAAACAAAAAAAACAAGAAAGTCCATTTTACTTTTGGAAAACACATGTTTCGAATATGAATGAGAAACCTAAAGCAAACAGAAGCTAATCCTGTTTCATACAAAAATCAATATGATGGCATATAGAGAGCCAAAGATTTCAAGGATTTGAAACTGGGTTTGTGTTAACTAGGCAAGCAAAAGATTTTCATTTAGCAAAAAAGAAAAGGAAATCTAAGTTGAAACATCAACAAACTCAATATTAGAAAATACAGTATATTAAATTAGAAACAGGCACAGTGAAACATTATAGTGTAAAGTCATCTGTTATTGATTTCTGACATATATGCATTCAAATAAATTTTAAATACATATATGAAAAGAGAAATAACAGAAACATTAAAAAGCTAAGTATTAAAGAGCCATATTTTCATCCCCACCCGTTTTACAATGTATACAACATTGTTGTCTGTTCATACAGACTGAAGACCTCAAAATAGGTTAAAAGAACTTCTGATTCTGAGAGGCAACTAAAGCAGAGAAAAGAGAGTCTGCAATCACAACAGAATAGTGTGCAGTGGCAGCACATGGAGACATAAAGTGAGGCCTTGATCGTCAGCAATATCGTTGGGTAAAGTGAGGCTTTGATCATCACAGGGACCGTTCTGTCAGAGTAAAAATGGCCCCACTACACGTAAAACCCAAGACAGTACGATTAAGGACACAGAAAGTCCTCACCTTATGACCACAATTGAGCCCAAAACATCTATTGCTAAGTGAGGCAGTGTGTTGACTTTTGTCCCATTTTACAACCTTTCTTGCCATAATTGTTAAGTGAATCCTTGCAGTTATTAAGTTAGTAATATGGCTGTTAAGTGAATCTGGCTTCCCCATTTATTTTGCTTGTAAAGTCACAAAAGATGATCACATAAATATAAGCCAGTTGCCAAGCATCTAAATTTTGATCACCTGACCATGGGGATGCCACATCAGTTGTAAGTGTGAAAAATGGTCATAAGTCACTTTTTTCAGTGTGTCGTAACTTCAAATGGTCACTAAATGAATGGTTGTAAGTCAAGGACTATCTATAGTAAACATTCATTAGAAGAGTTAATAAGTTTTTAAAGAAAAATTGAGGCATGATTTGTGCTACACCACAAAATTGCATTTATTGAAAAGAAAGAGTTGTAAAGATGATTGCTTCAATGATTAAGGATAAGGAAAGCAGTAATATAAGAATGATAACATAAAGAAAAACTCCAGTTTTTACAAAATAAAACAAAATTTTAAGTTAAAAAATACCAAGTTCCACTGAAGTATTTCCAGATTCAGTCAGGGAGACAATCAAGGGTGAAATCCAGCAGATTCTGACAGGTTCTGGAGAACCGGTAGCGGAAATTTTGAGCAGTTCGGAGAACCGGTAGTGGAAATTTTGAGTAGTTTGGAGAACCGGCAAATACCACCTCTAGCTGGCCCCAGATTGGAGTGGGAATGGAGATTTTGCACTATCCTTCCCCCAGGAGTGGAGAGGGAATGGGGATTTTGCAGTATCCTTCCCCTGGAGTGGGGTGGGAATGGAGATTTTGCAGTATCCTTCCCCTGGAGTGGGGTGGGAATGGAGATTTTGCAGTATCCTTCCCCTGGAGGAGGGAATGGGGATTTTGCAATATCCTTTTCCCAGGAGTGGGGAGGGAATGGGGATTTTGCAGTATCCTACTCCTGCCACACCCACCAAGCCACACCCACCAAGCCATGCCCACAGAACTGGTAGTAAAAAAATTTGGATTTCACCATTGGAGACAATGTCATGATTTACATACAAAGCTGTAAAGTGATAATCAAATGGCCAAATAGCAACTTTTGTTAAAAATAATAATAATAAAATTTATATGCCATCTGACTTCCAAAGACTCTGAACATTTGTTGACCCCAAACAGTTTAAATGTAGTTTTGCAGTTCAAAAATGGAAAGAGATCAATATACAACAATATCGTATTCTGCAAGCATAAAGGTTTGCTATAGGTTTGTGCAGCATGGCTGGTACTGCTTCTCATGAATGAATGAATGAATGAATGAATGAATGAATGAATGAATGAATGAATGAATTGGAATAAATGAATGAATGAATGAATGAATGATCTGATACTGGAGGTTTTTTTGTCAACAAGAAAAAAACTATCTGCCACTGCCTTTTTCTGAGATAGTTTTTGACTTCCCCGTGTACTCTACAGATTTCCTAGTGGTCCCCTGTTATAAATATTAACTGAGTTTGATCCCACTGATCCTCACTGATATCAGCCCAGATAGCTATGTACTGCCCCCTTGCGTGATATCTTCAATAGGAAATAGGATCAAAAACAATTCCTAACAGATTTCAGAAAATTAGACAAGAGTCTCACATGTAATTTCAAAAACTTCCCAGAGCTTATCTACTTTTTTTTCTACCTGCCAAGATTGATCCTTGCTCATTCATACATGAAATGAATTCCATCTTCAGCACACAAAAAAACACTCTCAATTTATAACTTTAAAAATATAGTTAACTGTAAGGAAAAGTTGCAAGGAAGAAGACAATGGAACCAGAGTAATGCCCGTATTTAGAGACAACCATACTATGAGCTATAGCCCAGGGGTGAAATCCAGCAAGTTCTGACAGGTTCTGTAGAACCGGTAGCGGAAATTTTGAGTATTTCGGAGAACTGGCAAATTCCACCTCTGGCTGGCTCCAGAGTGGGGTGGGAATGGAGATTTTGCAATATCCTTCCCCTGCCACGCCCACCAAGCCATGCCGAAAAAAATTTGGATTTCACCACTCCTGTAGCCTGAATGCACAAGAAAAGACCCCCAGAAATTACATAGGAAGATTTTTACTGCAAAAATCAGAGCAGATAGCTAGGAAACAAACCAGTTTTGTTAAGTAACATAGTAGGACATTGAGCACATAATTGAGCACATAATCTTTAAAACAGGCTGAGCACTGACATTTATGTTCTCCTCTTGGTAAAAAGAAAAAATGAGACAATACATTGGCATTCTGCAGGATAAATGTGACATGTTATAAAGAATCATTTTTCTTTCAGTAAAGTGCTGGCTCCCCTCCTAAAACTGCAATTCCTATGCCAAAATGCAAAGCCTGAGAAACTTCAGTGAAATGCATTCTTTACAGACTGATTCTCAGTGAAATGTTCCTTTAATTATCCTATGTCACAAACTAATTTATACATTTTATCAAGGTTTGTGTCTACCAAAGACAAAAAACTTGCTAAAATATGCCTGCATTTTGTATAGTATAAAACTTAAACCTATCTCTTTAAAACAGTAAAGAAACTATAAACAAAGGCAGCCGTGTGTGTGAATACTAATTTGATCAAATAGATAAATAAAAGCAATAATTATACCCTGAGAGATAGAACAGACTTAAGCAGAAAATGTTTAATATATGCAACAGAATTTCTTTTTTGATGAGCGTCTTTCTTACCCTTAGTTATATCCAACTGATGTCCATGTACTTTGTTATTCATAATAATACAGGATCACAACCACTAAGCTTAAATCAAATAGCATTATCAAAACACTACAAAGCATCAGCTTACATTTCTCTTAAAACTTTATGAGCTTTGATACACAATATTTTTTTTAAAAAATTATTTCACTACAAAAATATTCCTACCTTTGTTACTGGTATGTTACAAATATTTTTCAAAGACGTATTGGAAACAAGTGCATCAAATTGCCTAGAGGGAGTAAGTTACATGTTTTTACAAACAAAAAACACTCTGAATATAAAAGTGTTAATTAGTTCTGCTGGGGACCGCAATGACATCTTAACTGTAATAATGCCTTAACTACTGCTTCTCAATGAGAGTATATGGGAGATAAACATTTTTTTTTTACGTTAGCAGTGTGAAGTGTTCATTACTATTATCACTGGGTTTCCAAACTATTGGAAGTTATTCATATGTATTAGATATTTTGCAGCAACCATGTACAGTAAATTATGATTAGTTTGCTTACTTTCATAGGATATACTGTATACTCTTACTTAAAACTACCCTGGTAAAGAACCCTGATGAGATTTGAGTAAGGAATTCCTCAATTCACAGACTCAGTTTATATTCCATACTGTGAGAGATTATACATGTATGCAGGTGTGTATTTATGTCACAAACTCGCACATTTTCACCTCACATTACAGTAGCATCTGGATACTGGAGGTTAGTACATGCAGACAGACAGGGGTAGGATTGAAAAATTTTAGCAACTGGTTTTCTGCCAGGTTGCTGGGTGGGTGTGGCTAAGGGAGCATGACCTAGTCAGCTTCCTGTACCATGGCAGGGTGTGTATTTTTGTCCTCCCCAGGCTCTGGAGGCTTTTCTTGAGCCTCCAGGAGGGTGAAAATGGCCTCCCCCAGGCTCCATAGGCCCTCTGGAGGCCAGAAACAAGTCTGGAAACGGGCTTGTTAGACCGGTAGACCCATTTTTCCTCCTCCCAGAGCCTCCATGCGGGCCCTGCACTTACTTGGCATCCAAAACTGGCCGTGTGGAGACTCCTGGGAGGGGCAGGGTGGGGTGGGCGGGGTCAGCCATTCCTTGCAACTACCAGTTCCCACCCCTGGATACAGCTTGTCTTCACTTAATGGTTACTCGTTTTACAACTGGTCAAAATTAC